GATTAAAATCAGGCTAGAATGGTTATATCAATCAGTATACTTCCTGGTATCAGACAGGCTAATTCCTAGCCAAGTTCAATAACATTATCTATATTTGAGTTAAAAAAGCGCTAGAGCTTTGAATTGGATATTGGAAATCATATAGCAAACTGGGTTCGTAGGCAGATTTGGGCTTTGCACCAGAACCCCCATTTTGGCCTATATGTTTTATCGATTTTATCATATTAAGAAAGTAATTTTATCAGACATTATTAATCATCAGTTTTATATGTTTTATATGTTATCACTGATTAACAATTCTTTATTGAAAAATTAATCTACAGAAGTTACAATTAATTTTATATTGATCACAAATTAGAAGATCTGCATAATTCCTGATTTATATGAATTTTAATATATCTCATATAATTTCTTATAAACCTGATATTTCTGATTTTATTTATTTTTATTATTTCTATTATTTTTATTATTTTTATTATTCTTATTATATTAGTTATTCTTATTATATTATTTATATTTACTATATTTTATATACTTATTATAACTTATATATTAGTAGTTGTATTTACAAATTTAGTTAGTTTATAGCATAACAATTAGCTAGCTATAGCAAATTAATTTTATATAAATAGAGTAGCTTTTTGCTAAAATTATAAAAAAATTAATTGCTAATTTATAACTCTTTTGTAAATTATATAACTTCTGCAAGTTCTGCAAGTTCTAAGTAATAAAGAAATCAACTTTAAAATATAATTACATTTCTATTCTAAATATTCATTATCTAGGATTTAATTGTGAAATACTACACTAATTTACTTTAAATTTATCACTTAGAATAAATAAATTCTCTAAGATTTTCCTAAGTCTTTAACCCTTTAAGTTCGTAAAGTTAAACGAAGTAATTCCAAGATATTCCAAATATTTGTAGAATATAAGATTTTCTAAGGTTATAAGTCTGATGATAAGAAATTTACTTATAATAGGAAAGTAACTTAGTAGAATATGTGTAAATAAAGAAATATTTCCAGTGATAATGTTATATTATATATATTATTTATCACCTTGTGTTATGCTGAAGTCATAATCTGTGACTGTAATGATCATCTGATTTATTTGATAAATATGATAGATTGGTCATATTTGACTGATAATCCATATTTATTATATTTATTATATTTGTAACTTTATTAATTTTATTAAATTTGTTATATTTGATAGATTTATTTTATTTATTAGATTTATTATATCATATTATATTACTATTAGTTTATTTATATAAATAACATATATTTTTTCTTTGAGTTGAAAGATAATTCAAAATAAGATTTTGTGAATAAACTAAGAGTTCAATAAAGATATTTGTTATTCATTTACCATTATCTTTTACTGTATTTTCATATAAGTATGATTATAATAAAGTTATTGTGATTAATTTGAAGGATTGAATTATATTGTCTAAATTTTATTTCTAGCTCTCCAGCTAAAAATGCCTCACTATATTTATTTTTACTAAATATTCTAGAGACTTGAAATTTTTCACTGCTTAAATATATTTGTTTTATCTTCTCTTAAATATTATTAGTCATATGAGGTAATAAAAATATTAATTATTATTGGTTGATTTAATGCTGATGCTGATCATCAGTAGTCAAACTTTATTTATATTATATTATATTACAATCAAAGCTCTTTATAGTGAATTCTTGATTCTAATCATTTTTGTTCACTATAATGAGATTTTATTAAGAGTTCACTATATCGAGAGAAATTTATTATAAAAAATTGATTTGGTGAATTAAAAATAATTCACTATAACGTGATTTTACTATAATGAGATTTACTATAATAAGCTTTGAATGTAATAGTAAATAATACATAAATTTTATTAATAAGTTATAAAACCTAATTATATTATCATTATATAATTTTATTTAATAATTTTTAATATAGATTTATTTAAACTTTATATAATAAAATTATTTAAATTAAAAGATAATATATGGGAGGTTTGCTAGGAAAATGGGCTCTAAGCATTTTTTATTAAAATTTTAATTTTTATTGCATTTTAATCCAACATTATCAAAAACTAAAATGCAAAGAAAATTAAAATTTTAATAAAAATGCTTAGAGCCCATTTTCCTAGCAAACCTCCTATATAATATATATTATAAAATTAGAATTATTTGATTTAATATAACTAATATTTAATAATAATAAGATAAAATAAAATAAGTCTATAAGAAAACTAATCTTAAATTACTGATTATAAATTAGTTTATATGAAAGTTTTATAGTAGAAAGGAAGAAAACTCTAAAAAAATAAAAATTTTACTTTATAAGTTAAATATGATTTTTTTTAGTTAAATAAGTTCAGATTTAGCATTATTTTGAAAAAAAATTTTTTTAGAGTTTCTTCCCTTTCTATTGCAAAGCTTTCATATATTCAAAAGATAATAAAATATTATCAGTTTTTATAGACTAATCTAAACTAACTCTATATTAATCATTTTATTAATTTATTTAAACTTCAAAGTGGAAGAAATGTTATTTTAAAATTATTCAAAATTAAATACTTTTGTATTAAAAATATTAAAAAGTAGTATTTGATACTATATACTAAAAGATAGTTGATTACTAATTTGAGACGGTTTCACTAATTTACCCTAAGTTCTGATTGGCTGGTATAATATTTGTCACGTACTAAGCTTTAATTAACCCAATTATATCAGCAAGCGCCCACCTGTGATTAAAAATAGAAAATGAGGTTTTTAAAATTTGAAAAAAAAGGGGCATCATTTTTATAAAACTTTTCAACCGTTCGAAATAAATATTTCAGATTTAGCAATAGCTTTTTATTCCTTCTATTTCAAAGGACTCATATGGTGAAAATGTTGAAGGATAATAATATCGCAGGTAATTCGAGCATTAGGGGGATTCGAATTTATTATCCGAAAATTTTCGAATAATTTCTATTTGAATTTCAAATGAAACATTTTTAACCTGAACAATTTTTTTTTTAAAAAAAAAAATAATACTATTAGAAAGAAAAACCGTTGTATTTTTTATTGTTTTTTTTTTTTTTTTTAGAAAATATATTAAATGCTAAAATTTTAGAAATGATATGCCTTAAATTTATAAAAAAGTAAATGATTGTTATAATAGTAAATAAAAGCTTATTAACACCAAGACCCCAGTAATGATTTTATAACCGGGCTTCGTTAAATCACAAGTAGAGGAAATTTCTGGAGAATATGAAGTAGAACTCTGCGTGGCTTTCGCATTTGCGGCATTCACACCCATAGTTGTCATTGAACCTGTAGGTTCTGTAGGTTTTGGACCTAAATTGGGTGTATCGATTTGTTTTGGAGCCGCGGTTAACTGTTCTGGCCAAACATATCCCTGGGGAAGATTAATTCCTCCATACATTCCTTTTTTACAACTAAAAGATAAATACTAAATTAATATCGGCGCATTCAAAATAAATTTCTTTTAATCAAGCATACTTACTCATCTGACACATCAGAAAAGAAAACGTAGGTCCTCTTCTCCTCGACAGCTATACTGACATTAAATGGAGCTTTATGAACTCCAAGATCAATACCTACAAAGTTTATTAATGAAATCATTTAAATAAAAAACAAATAGAATGATTTTTTTTAAAAAAATAAAATATATAAAAAATTTAAATTGATATACCTCCTTCTTTTTTTACGCACGGCGTTTCAGGAGATGATTCGATCACGGAATGTTCCAATTCGCCTTCCCATTCCCAATACAACACATCACCTTTACCGGCAGTGAAATTATTTTGGCTATATCCGGTTCCCATATAACCGACTTTAATAACATGATTTGTAAGAGAAATGGGTTGGTCTTTAGGTGCTGGAGATGGTGTGGGATCAGGTTTTGAAGATTGCGAGCTAACGGCAACAACTAGAATTGATATTAACAAAACGACCCTCATCAATTTTTCATACATCATCTTTAATTAATATTTTGAAATATAAATTTATAAAATGGTTTGTTTGTTTGAAAAGAAAAAAGACCCATGCCCGTATTTATAAGATTTTTTTTATTTAACGATTATTAAAAATGACTTTACCTAGAAAGAACCATAAGAAGTTAAAATAGGGAATTGATTAAATAAAAATTTATGTGGCAAACAATTAAAGCCGAAACATATAATATATATTTAATTTATTTTGTTATTAAATGATCGTCTACCAAAATTTTGTTTCATAAATTCCTTTGTTATACCTATTTAATTAGCCGAAATAAGAGCCATCGGTTTTAATTCCATTTGTGTGTAACGTGTGATAGTTCATCCAGCCAAAATTATCCTCAAAGTGGTTCATAAATAAATTTCATATTTTGAATCATTGATCGATTGTTTCATTGGATGTATCAAATACATAATATCACCAACGGAATTTCATTTACCCGCTCATAATTATACGAAGTGGAATGTTTGGACGTACTTATTTTTGGTATTTTCCTTCGTATCTTCTTCAAAGGTTATATAAAGAAATGTTGCGGGGATTAGTTACAAAACTGACTTTAAAATTTTGGACCCTTATCACATAATTCCGAATATACATTAATTTCTGTACTCTAAGATCTTTTTATGTCATGCAATTTTTTAGATTTCCGTTGTTGCCATCATTTACATTTCGTTTTCCTTTTTTTTTTTTTTTTTTTTTTTTTTTTTGACAATCCTTATAATCTTTGTGGGTTTTACTAAATTAACTAATTAAAACATCCAATTTATAAACAAGAATTTCGCGTTTCACAGTTGTCCCGTTCGTGGAAGCATCAGCCACCCACCGCTAAATATGGACATCAAAAGCCTTGTCGAAATGTGGCGTCCATGTTACACGTGATATATTATATTCAATCGGATCTTGAACTCCGAGGACAAATGACGCGACAAATTTAAATTTTAAATATCTTAATTTTTATTTGAACTTTGTAAACAATAATCTTAATTATAGCTTAATTTTTTTCAATTTTTTTTAAAAAAAAAAATTAATACAAATCTTAAAAAAAAAAAGAAGCTTATTATCCCTTTATCATGTAAATCATTTAAAAGGTATTATTTGTTATAATCTTAAAATCATAAATTAAAGAAGGAATTTGAATTGGCTTTGCGAACCAATACTCACGAAAAATAAGATAAATAATATATACATAACGATTCGTCTTGTCAAGCGAAGAAAAAAAAAATTTTTTTTTTTTGGTTTATGAATTTTATAAATTTTTTTGTTAATTTTTTTTTAATAAAATTTTATATCGATAACATAAAAATATACATTAATAAAGTAAAACAATAAAAGAAAAAAAAATCGGCAGATTTAAAAGTCTTCCATATTCATATCGATGTTGCCATCGTAAATGCCCTGCCAATTATAGGCGGGGACATCTTGCGTTCTATTGTCATCATTCCCTCCCACTCCCAAACAAATGCATTCAAACGGAAAATTACAAACCTCACATTGCGTAAATGGAAATGTGAAGTAAATGTCATGTCGAACTATTGGAGTCTCGTAAAATAAAGATAAAGGAAGGCTTGATTGTTGCTCTTGATAATACGCGTCAAAGGATTGTTGTTGTGTCTCGGTATTATATGTAAGGGTTTGATTTGTGTATTGTGGGGAATCATTTGTGTATTGTGGTGAATCGTTTTCGATAATAGTATTACTCGTTGTATTAGGTGATCTAATCGGTTGCGATGGCAAAATGGTGGGAAGAACACGCGAAGAGTCCAAATCTTGAGCCTTCTTACGGTAGATTTTGCTTACTTTCTTTGCAAACTCTCGATATTCGTCCTTTAGCTCTTCCCTTTCAATGCTCCAAGATTCCGAAGCCCATCGTGAAGCTTCCGTCATTTTGTAGTGCAATTCTTCCGCCAAAAGCGTTTTAACATATATTTTGCGATATATAATAAATGCATTTGATGGTTTGCAACCCCTAGACTTCCTTGGCATAAAATCTTCTGGATTCAAATTTGACATACGAGGAGATGGAACGATTATTTTGGGTCGTGAACGATCATTTAGAGATTGCGAATTTGATTCCATCTTTTTTTTTGTGTTTTTAAAAAAAAAAAAAAAAGAAAGATCGATTTCTTTAACGATAATTTTTTTTTTAAAAAACTTTTCTATTTTAATGAACTCGAAGTTGAGAAAAAATACCAAAAGGAAGTAATCCGTTTATATATTTTTTCGGAAAGCATATTAAAAAAATGAATCTCCGAAAGAATGTTTGTTAAATATTGCTATCCTAAATTGGAATATTATATTAAATTCGATGTTCATTATATATTGATATACTATTGTTTGTAACTAAATCTGTAAAGTTCAACTATAAGTAACCTTTAAATTAATTGCAAAAAAAAAATGCTTAATTACAAAAAGTATGCAAAAAACTTTTTATATCCACTTCGGTAATAAGCCATGTAGAACATTACACGTGATACAATTCCTTTTGTTTTCCAAAGCGGGCTTAGAAAAAAATAAACATTCTTAATATAAAAAACAGAGGATAAATAAATTTTACGTGTATAAAATTATACATGTAGATCATGGGATAATTCCGATTAGCGTAATTTCAATGAATTCCAGATAACAATTGGATCGGAACTATCGGCGAACCTTGCATCTGCAAAGGAAAAAAAAAAAATAAAAATAAAATATCTTGACATTAATGTCGGGTATAGCTTTTCCGATTACTTGAATGTTTCTTAGATTTTCAATTTTAGGAGATTACAAAGCGATTCGATGTTTTAAATACAAAGGGAGATCAAAACTCCTCCTTAGATCATAAATCATGGCGAACCTAATTTAACTTACTTGTCATTTCTAATTGTCGGATTTATTAAATTCGGAAAAGGTTCTAAAGACTTATTTTTACTTTTATGATTTTCTCTTGAGTACCGTTCAAATTGAATAAGTTAAAGAGAAGGAGTACTATTTAATTATTTTTAATTTAAATCTCAACAAAATGAGAAATGATGAGATATTGTAAATCTATCGCGCTATCGTCACATGTTGCAAAATCTTCGCTTTCCTGCATTGCATATATATGAATGTACATTATATGTTTAATGTTGATGATAAAACGATTCGAAACTTTTTTGAACTTGTGGGGCGCAGTAATTATGGATCGTCACCATAGAACGACCAATGAAACTCTTCTATTGTGCGCAGTTGGTTCATTGAACATCATTTTTTTGGCTTATTACGATCTTTTGATAATTGAGATCAACGATTATAATGGCCTTGCTCTTGCATATATGAAGGAATGTTTTGGACTTCCTAATTTTGGTATGCTAAATTACCAAAAACACTTTTTTTGTTAACGAATCAAAATTTTAAGATAACTATCTCGGTGATACGAATCACTATAAGTTTTTTATTACCTTTTAGAATGATAATCATTCAATATTTCCCATGAATGAATGATAAAGGTATTAATAACTTGCTAAATTTAGAATCAATTAATGCATTATCAGGTTATGTAAACCTTAAAATCTATCATCTAATATAATCAACAGTTAATATGAATTAAGCAAGTATGCTTAAAATAAGGTCTAACTTAATACACCTTATTGAAATTATGTTCTTTTGTGCTAATCAAGTGTAAAAGGAAATATACCTCCAATTGAGAGAGATTTCTCGATTCATTAGTTTCGGTTTGTTATATAGAAATGACAACAAGTATCCATGTATAGATTATGGAACTTGACAAAACGAATCATGCATGTAATATTTACTTTTTTTTAAACTTGCCGTTACTGAATAAAGAATCAAGCAATTAATCAAAGAAAATGTTAAAGTTTAAATCCGATTCTGATGTGCGCGATCGAAAATATTGTTTAAATGATTTTATTAATTTATTATAATTTATTGCATGATTGTTATATTTATTGAATTTAATGATATCTGAATATCTGTGTAAATTAATTCTTACCAAATATGATTAAGAAAGAAAATTAGAAAGAAGAAAGAAATCGCTTGTTAATTGAAAAGAGAAATAATATTAGTAATTTTTTTTTTATAAAAAAAAAAAAAAAAATGGAAAGAAAAGAAAACTCGCGTCCGAAAAAGATTTAGGAATTCTTCTAGAAAAAGCGTGCATATATCGATTTGCATTTTATTGGTTCAAAAATGAACACAAAGTGATTATTACCCTTTAAGTCTTTACCGGTTTTTTTTTACGAAGGTGATTCACAAATTAACAATTCCAACTTTCATTGCTTTAAAACAGCCAATGATAACTTTGTACCTGTAAAATCAGGGTCAAAAAGGCTCAAGTTGGGATGGGGTTAATTATGAATTTAATATTTATATTTATATTTATATAATAATAATCTAAATCGGTCACAATTAACATTGATAATATAACTAGGGAACGGGATCCGTTGTTTAAATCCGGAGCATAAATGTAACGAAAAAGACCAATCACGTATTTTGAACCGGACACCTTGAGTCATACCATACATTATAATATCGATATGAAACTAGAGAACGGTTTCGGAAACCGGAGCACAAATGTAACGGATCGGGCGGTCATCCGGACAAATTTACACTTTGCGTAGGCATATATAGTACTCCGGACTAATTAAGGGTATTTTACCTGATTAAGCGAATTGTGATTTGTGACCCATTTCTCAAATATTGGATAAATAACCATCATGACTGCGATTCCTTAAACTGTGATCAAATTGTTTATGTAAACAATTTCTTGTTTTGTCAAGATTTCCTATAGTAGTACGCAAATTTTGTCGGAAAATTGGTAACAGTTTTTGATTTTATAATTGTGTTTTGAACGTCGTGGAACCTTTTTTCGGAAAAATTTGAATGTCTTTTGTTTCGACCATAACTGTCCAACCTCCCCCTTCAAAATGATGAATCTTTTGCAAAAACTTTTGCAATTGATTGAAGGATATTATTTATTTATGTTTATTAAACTTTACCATTTTTTTAATAAATGTCGCGTGAGTTTGTATTGTGATTGGTGCGACAGCTTATGCAGGTATTTGAAATGAAAAAGTCCATACATTTTATTTGTGATGCAAATATCCAATTTACAAATCAAATTTACCTTTTTTGGTAACATATTTGAAATTTCTTTTCGAGAGCTTATGTTATGTAATAACTGGTTAACTGATTTTCTGTTGAAAATCTAATCAACTTTAATAGAATCATAAATAATTTTTTTTATTGGTCGGTTCTTGACATTGAATTAAAAAATAACATAAATAAAAATTATCTAATGTTTTTCCGAAATCCCGTCAATTAAAATTTGAGCTTCTTTTGTAACTTTTTTCTAGCGCGTGCAAGAACCAAAGGTTTTCATTGGATAACATTCAAATTCCAAACAAACATTTATGTATCCTAAACTTTCACGAAAATCTTTAATTTTTTTTTTTTTCCCTGAATATTGTTTCTTATAAATAGCATTTGAAAAATTAATTTAAGTAGGTCTTATTTATATTTTCGTACATCATCCCCTTACCGTTCCCTTCCTTCGGTTTCCTTTACCCTAATTACTTACTTTCCTTTTTGTCTGGTATTTCATGACTAACATTTCAACTTTTCGCAGGTCGTCTCCTTTTTAAAATATTCATTAAATTATTTACGGAAAAGCAAAATTATATATGGAGTCATCGTCGGTTATTTTTTTACCAAAGTTGTCTTCTTCAAGGGTTCTATTATATTTAATTTTAATATTTACATTCATAAATTACAATGATGCTTCTCCTGCTGATACATCAGCTGGCGTTAGTGAAAGTGTTGAATTTGATTATGTCCAACGGGAGAATAGCATGGTCGCAATTTACATCATGTACAGTATAAGTCTACTTACTCTACAATTCGGAAGTTTTTGTGCCCTTTATGTCATAATCCGTACCATAATAAGATGGATGCGAGTAGATTCGTCATTAAACATGGCACAGAAATTGCCGTTTTATGTGGCATTATCAGGTAAGGATGTCGAATAAAATGTTGAAAATACAAAATAAAATCAAGACTAATCTTATCTGTTTTTATCTTCAAAGATTTAGCTATCTACATTGTCTTGACGATAAACTTGGTAAAATAATTTAAAAAATATTGGAAATTGTATTCATTCTATAAATCTATAAGAACCTTCAAAATAAATTGTAATGATTTAACTTTTTTCCTTATCCTTTATTTACAATGCTTTAAAGTATTATCCGGCAGGTAAACGAACATTTCGTATATTTTCTATTAAATTAAATTTTCAATTTATTGAAATATTCAATCAACTCTCACCTTAGTAAACAAACAGCTTTGGCATGGTCATTCCTGTGAGATTCTCGCTGCTAGCTTTTATTACTTTGCCATTAGCAACATGCTTCTTGTGGGCTCTTTATCCGTTCTTAGTTATTTCAGAGTATGTAAGACAATATATTACGAATTAGGGTTGTTTGATTATAAATTATTTTTATTACCAATAGTTTTACCTGTTGTGATGACCATACCGGTACGTTTATTCAATTATACATTTATAAATATATAAATATATATATTTGCGTCGTAAATTGATGAAAATATTTTTTTTTTTATTCAAAGGCTTGGAAGCATTTTGGAGCTAACGGATATTGGTGTTATGCAAATCGAGCTTCATCGTTCATTCCTTTATCTTTATTTTATGTCGCTATTGTTATCCTGTCAACTTCTTTATTCTGTTATATTGGTATATCATATACGATTAATGTAGCAAGAAGAAACGCCGACTCCGAATTATTTTTACACGCATACAAAAAAATAGTAAACTATTCTCCTCTTTTTTTTCGATTTTCGATAATTTGATTTTTAGTTTTTCCTTTGATTAACCTTATTTAAATTCTTTAGGTTGGCTATTTATTCATTTATATTATACAATGGACACCAGTCATGATATACGTCCTTGTCGATAATTATCAACATAGGTACGCTAAAAAAAAAAAAAAATTATTTTTATCTTTCTAAATATTTTACTAACAATTTCTTTTCGCTCATTAGACCAATGTGGGAATATGTAATATGTTTCATCTCTTTACCATTGGGCGGAATGCTCAACGCCTATAGATATATATCTAACGAGGGCTGGAGGACAAAAAAAGATGTGACGGTCTCTAGTACTTCTAATACCGTTCAAGTTCAAATAGGTCCAACTACCACTTCAAATTCCGTAAAAAGTTCTCCTTTGATCAATCGATTTGATCCAATTCAAGTTAGCGTATCTACAAATTAAAATTTACTGGAAAAAATTTTTTTTTTTTTTGAATTCATTTATTCATTTTATTCGAAAAGCATTCCTTTTTTTTGAATTATTATTATTTTTTTTTTCTTACAAATACATCAAATACATCTAACAAATTCCTTTTTGCAGTCGCAAATGTAAATACAAATACAAATACAGATGCTATACAAGTCATTTCACGATTTTATTTTTCTCTCTTCATATGGAAGTTAATATGTATTTGCGCTGCGGTCAAAATTTTATTTTATGTTTATAACGCTCCAATTTACAACTTCTTTAATTTATTTTTTATTTTTTATTTTTTTTTTTTAATTTAGTTTTTTTTTTTTTTTAAAAAAAAAAAAAGAGGGGAGAAAATATCATATTGGATTAGAAAATTAGATGAACGATAATAAATAAAATAAATAAAATAATAATCTGGTCTCATATTAACAAATCTAATTTATTTATAATTCCTAAGATCATTTCCAAATTTGTAAGCAAGGGAATGACGCATATGTATAATACTTAAAAATACACATCTTCAATTTCATCACCATCATCATTATTATGGATAATTTCTTTTAAAAAATGTAATTACAGCATATCGTGTTTAATTCTTGGAAAATTGGATTCTTAAATTATAATAATAACTAATTATACTAATACCCATTTGCGTCTACTATAAAAATAAAATTAAAAACAAGTCATACAAAAAAGAATAGCATTATTATTACAATTGGAAAGGCAAATGAGAATTAAAAGGCTAATAGATATATAAATTACAGAATCTTTTACGCTTAAGTTTGTTATTGAGGATCTGTGAAAGTGATTCTTCTGAGTCTCAATCTCATCTTGTGGGTTATATTTCCTCTAATTATGTTTGAGGTCATTTTTTCCTGATAATGATTGAGGTTGAATTTTATCTTGTGAATGATCCTGATCTTCAGATATAATTTGGTGAGATCGATTATCATTTGAGAGTTCTTCCGACAATTCCTGCCACTGATTACTATTGGTGGACCTCGGTCGTTTGATTAGGTGATAATAGGTCTCTCATTGGATATATATCGATACGTTTTAAGTATTCCTCCTATCGGTAATGATGTAATACATATAGAAAAAACCCACATATTCGCTTGCTGTTCAATGTCAGCTATTATATAGATCATAACCGGTGTCTGTGAATGTTTAGAATTCATTAGCAAAAGATGAATTAATAAGATGAATGATTACTCGATCGATCAAAGCATCACTTACCCACTGCAAAATATATGTGAAAAGGTACCCAACGATTTTTTTGTTTGCTGTACAAAAATTCTCTTGGTCATTTCTAAACCGGGAAACATTAATATCATGCACTATTCCAATATAACAAAATAATGATGTCATCAATATCAAAATATCTGCATAAAGTAAAGCTAAAGGGATAAATTTTGTTTCCCTGTTTTGGAAACACCAATAACCGTCACCTCCAAATGATGGCCAAGCCTATAAAATTTGGTTGAAAATTCATTTACCAACTCATCCCTCTTTCAATAATAATAATCATGACTTACTGGTATAGATAAAATAGCAGGTAAAAATACGGGAAGGAGAAATAATCTATAATCTAAAATTCCGGTATTAAGAACCATCGCTTTGCATACTTTGTATATATATACACACAAATCAAAAAGAGGATTTTAGAATATAGATTAAAGATCCCGCAAAAAAAAATTATAAAGTTTAGATTCATTTACCTCGTAAATAACTGATTAAAGCAAGTGAGCCAACTAAAATCATATTGAAAAGTGCAAAGTAGTAAAAATTCAGTCCTATGATTTTACACGCCTTCCCGGGCCAAAGCTTATCGTTTGCGGCAGGATAATACTACATACGCATGCATAGATACATATATTTATTTTTTTTAAAAAAATAGATTTAAAGATAAACTTATACATATATAAATTGATAGTCATTAGTTTACCAAGTCAACTGTTATAACTGCATAGATAAAAAAATCTAAAGATATATGAATTAAAATTTAATAATTTAATAAAATAACATTTCGAGTTGTATATATTGTTTAAAAAAAAAAAAATTTACCGGACAATGCCATGTAAAAAGGTATTTTTTGCGACATATGAAGAGAAAGATTATGTTTTATCCAATAGGCAAACGTTCGAATGATCACATACAAAGTACACAACATTCCAAGTATAAGTATTCCAAGATCGAAAATATACATGATATAAATTTCGACGTCGTTATGCTTTGCGTGTAAGCTATCCAATGAATTATCATTTTCGACTTTATCAACAGAAGTATTGAGAGGAAAAGCATTGCAAAGAAATGCAAAAAATGGTAAAAATATAAATATGCTTATGATTTTTGGAATTAAATAACATATCTTTCGTGAATTCATCAAAGTAATTTGATATTAGAATTGCCAATTTGATTGGAATATAGAGTCATGAAATTTATATGACCTCGGTGAGGGAAAGATTTCATTATTCTTTGCGGAGAATAAACTTTTTAATTTTCTTTTAAATGGTATAAGGATCATGTCATGTTACGAAACCCTGTGAGTTTAGTAACCCCCTAAAAATAAATTTGTAATTCTCCTTATATAGTAAGTTCATTTCCAAAGTTTTATTGAGGCAAAAATAATACTGAATCATATATTAAATTCTTATATACTTAAATGGTAAAGACTTTTACAATAATGTTGATTTTTTATAAATAAATAAATAATGTTTTTTTAATAATATAAAAAATAATATTTAAATTGGTACATATTATTAATATAATATTATAAAATTATTGGAAATATTTTTAACTTGAAATATTTTTTTAACATAATTATCAATAATAACAATATTTTAAAATTAAATTTAAAATTCGAAAATCATCTTGTTGCCTTCAATACCACTAATATTACTATAATTATCATCAAAATTGTTGCTACTAAAATTACTACTACCATCAAATTTTTTATCATCAAAATTTCTACTATGATTATTACTACTAATAATGTTGCTATTGCTACTGCTATAATTTTTCTAAAATAAAATATTCATAGATTTTAATTGAAAAAAGAATTTATAATATTTATAATTAAGCTATTAAAGTTTAATTTAATATAAGCAAATATATTTCTTATAAAATCTGATTATCATCAACTGAACTTGATAATAAAAGATAAATTAAAGATATAAAAAAATATAAAAAATAAAAAATAAGAATAATTATCAATTCTTAAAAAAAATTAGATATTAAAGAAGTATTAAAAGACTATTATATTAAAGTGAAGTTAGAAGTTATTTTTTAATTATAATTAAATAATACAAAATTGTATAAATTAATAATTTGAAGAATCTTAAACAATTTACTTTTAATAAAATATAATAAATTATAATATAAATATAAATATAAAATAGTTGTAATAGTAGTTATATATTAAATTTAAACATTTTTTTAAATAGCTATAATTTTATCACAAAATTGAAAAAAGAAATATATTTATATAATATATAAAATATGAAAATGCTATTAAATATTAAAAGTATAGTTAGACTTGTCTATAATCACTACTTTTGGTTATATAATAATTTTTCAAAATACAGTATATATTTATAAGAATATTTTATTATATTATGATAATTAGAATTATTTTTTATTAATTTAATTATAATTGATTTTAATATAAACATAATTATAAAAAGGTTTTTATATGATTATAAATAGGTAATTATAAATAGAACTGACTATATGGAAGTTTTGTAGTAGGAAGGAAGGAAATTCTAAAAAATTTTTTTTTGAATTAATGTTAAATCTGGACTTATTTTACTAAAAAAATTATAATTAGCTTAGAAAATAAAATTTTAATTTTTTTAGATATTGCAAAGTTTTCATATTTCTTTATTATTTATAAATATTTTTTTCATAAAAATGATTATTGAAATATTTCAATAATAATTATTATTATAAAATTTAAAGTTTTAAATATCAGATTGATATTTTTAAGTTTATAATAATAATCAAAATTAAAATAATACAGATATATAATAAATTAAATAATCAGTCTCAATTCAGATATTATTTCCAATCAATTAAATTAATCTAATTAATTTATAACTAATTATATAAACTTAAAAATTATTATAAAATTTGTTCATTCAAAATAAAATATATTCTGAATAAATAAATTTCTGTTAAATCAAAAGAAATGTATTTTAAAATTAATAAATTTTATTAATTAAGATTAAATATTATTTTTCAAATTAAATTAATAAATTTCATTTTATTAAATTATAATAAATTCATTTCTGAATTAATAAATTTTATTAAATTAATTTATTTTAAATTAAAAAATTTCATTTAACTTAATAAATATATTTCTAAATAATTAATATTAAATTATAATATAATTATTTTTAAATTAATAAATAAATTTTATATTTTTTTATATAAAATAAAATCTTTTTTATAATTAAAACTTTTAAATTTTTTTTAGGAGATAATTAATTAATTTAATATATTATATAGGTTATAATTTAAAAAAATTAAATATTGAAATTTTTTGATTAAAATTAATATCTTATTATATTTTAATCTAAATATTTATAATAAATTAAATTATAATAAAAATCTTAATTTATTAAAAAATTCTTTAAACTTAATTTCTTAAATCATAACTTATATTTAGGTATATTAATCCTACTTATTATACATACTATAGGTCAAAATTTAGATCTTAGCTTAAAGTATGATTTTTATAAGAATTTCATAATAGTTGAACTATCAAATATATATATTAATATGTATACAAACCTGATTGATTGATTTATTAATTGACATTTACTATAATCATTAGAATATATGTATGAATACAAATTAAGCTAAGAATTAACAGAAACTTAGTCTTCATTGATTAATCTATATATATAATCTTATATCTTATACTGTATTATAAACACTTTTATACAAGTAAGAAAGTGATTAATTAGAATTTAGTTGATTAGGTTCTAATAATAATTATATTAAATTACATATTATAGTACTGCCTAATTGAGCTGATACTAAAATTAAATATTAGGTTTAATTTCTAAAGTC